AGATATACCGGCGACCGTCAGCCTGGTCCCCCCACTCGAAAAGCTCACTAAGCTCTCGGTCTCCTTCAAACAACTCCTGCACGAGGTTACCCCGCACTCCCCTCCCTCAACCGCATGGCGAGGCAATCCCGTCGTGCCACGGAGCCCAGAGCAAAAAAACCATGTCCGGCTGCTCTCCTATAGTCCCGCCGACTCGCAAATCCTCGCCGCGCTCTCCCGCTCCCACAGTGCAACGATTACAGGCGCGCTCCACGTCGTCGCTGCGCAGGCGCTCGCGCGCGTCCTCTCGCTCCCGGACCTTTCCGGAAAGTACGACTTTGTCCCCTTCCAAATTCCCATGTCCCTTCGTCCGCTCACGAACCAGCCGCCCACCGCGCTCTGTGACCACGTCTCCAACCACATCTTCCTCTGCCCGCTGCCTCCCGCGCGCTCGAAGGACGACCCGTTCGTGTTCGACGAAGCATCCTGGCGCGCCGCTGCGGAACTCTCCGCGACCCTCCGCGCGACGAGGGACAAGAGCCGCTCATACGTCGCGATGCTGCGCTTCGTCGCGCTCGTCGGAGGGTACAGGACATACTTCAAAGGCAAGCTCAACAAGGAGCGCGAGGGCGGGCTCGCGCTTATCAACTTGGGGGCGTTCCCAAAGAGCCATATACCTAGCCCCGGTGGATCTGCGTTGACCATAGCGGATATGGCGTTCACGCAGGAGGACGGTGTTGTTGGGGAGCCGATGAAGATCAACGTCATTGGCGGAGGAGATGGGAGCCTGACGATCACTTGTAGCTGGAGTGATTCCCAGTTCCACAAGTCCCTTGGGGAGATGTTCGCTGTCAAGCTCGATGAAGGCGTGAAAACGCTGGTTGCGTCAAAGCTCGAGCCATAGTTATATCCATCCCGATTTAGCAGAGTACGGAGTACATCTATGGACAGCCGACGGTCCCGTCATCAGGCTGGAGGTGAGTGTTGCTCAAGAGTCAAGTGTTCTGCTCCCATGGCATCGTCAAGTCATCGGGCTAACATCGACTATAGTTATTTTAAGGTCTCTACATAATACAGTTCCAAGAGTGTAGCGTAGCTAATAGCACAAGCACGTTGTCAAGATATACGAAAGGAGTTGTGGGCAGCGATATCACAACTGACGCACGCTCGTGTCGGCCGGGACGACACATCGGATCACAGACAGGTATGTACATTGTACCGGACCTGTTGCCTTTAGCTACCTGTCATAGACAGCGGGCCAGGGTGCAATCCCGAGTGCAGTGTGTCTCCATATTCGAAGAACTTTCGCAACAGTCGCCAGGTCCCTCACGCCCCCGTCTTCACTGACGTCTGCCAATGAAGACAACTGCGGGAGGGCCGTGGCAAAAGAACGACGTCGGTTGTATACGGGTGGGAACTCGCCAACTCTGCTTCCTTAAGGCCAAATAGATAACAACCCCCCCCCCAGTGTCCTACGGTGCACGCAATACAGTCGATACGTCAGTTCCGGAAGCTCGCAGGGTATTAGTCAACGGTGAGACGTCGCTCTGTGCATCAAAAATTGCGCGGAACGACAGCGCGACCAGGCAGGGGCGCACCTGGAGGCGCCGCGCTTGGTGACACTTAAGTACTGTGCAGCGAGAGGCAGGCTGCTCTGACCTTGACCCCAGGAGCCCGCGCCAAAGGTCGTAGGCGGGCAGCAGAAGAGGTACAGCGAGCGAGAGACGACGGTTCGCAACTGCCGTCGAGTACCGCTGGTGGTCCCGAGTACAGCGGGGCATAGATAGTGGCGAGAAACTTCGCCTCAGTCGTGTCGGTTCAATCGATTGATGGCTTGAGCAGCATCATTCGGGCTACCCTCGGTTCTATATAGAATTATGAGCAAGACGCACATCGGGGTCACGTTCTCTGGTGTGTTCATAGCCACGAAATAGTGGACCCCGCTCCTTCGTAAATCATATACGTAAGGATTGTGCATCGGTCTTACTTGCTCAGGGCAACGTGGCCTGCCATAACATCGACAAGTTCTATAGCTTACCATTATTTCCCAGAGAGTACCGTGAGACGTAGTGGTATGTATCAGCATAATCGCCATCGAGGAAACCGGTTACTAGTACGAGGTCTTACTGCGATATCAATATTTAAATTCGAGTGTCCACGTGCACTCCCAACGGAAGGATCGACACACACTTGACAACAACTTGACAAAGTTTGCCTCCCTGAAAGCAACACCTTCTGTAGAAACGAATATAGTGAGGTAGTGGTTTGAGTTCATGATCATCTTGATATTTGCTGGGCGGTGTTGGACAGTGGCGTTCGGTAAAACCCGGAAGCCTGCTCCGTTCCTCCGGTCGGGCCACCGCCATTCTTGCATATCTCGGCATCCTCAAAGCCACATCACGCATCCGTCACACAGGGTTCGCGGAACGATGGACCACTAACGCTACAGCCGCTTGCAGATCGATAGACCATCAATTCAGAAAACCACGTATAGTCGGAGTGGGTCGGAGTGGGTGCCAGGGACGTCGGAAGAAGGTAGAGAAGTCCAGATGGTCTGATTTTCTGTCTCTCGGGGACTTGAAATTGCTTGTCCGACGTGGTCCGACTATAAATGATTCTCAAAAAGTGGGCCCATCGATCTGCAAATGGCTGTAATTCTATATATACGCAAGTACGGGAGATAACAAGCTGTGGCATGGCTACTGTTCCGTAAGCTACACGGTACTTGTACTCTGCCTCTGGAACACGTTTCAATTGTCACACGAGTCAATGATGCACCCACAACTTCGTATGATGTCCTGTCATACAAGTCTAGACTTTAGAACGGAATACTGATGTTGGGGTTCCTCGTCGGAGCGAAGAGATTGTTGATAGCTACACTCGGTGGTAGAAAGGACCCACTGATTCAGACGGACCCACATATCGGGTGGACATCAGCAGAATGTTGTGTATGAGAACAATCAAGAACCATAATCACGATTCTTCTACGTTCGTTGATATCTCATGTCGGTTCCCCTCAATCCATCTCCGCCCTCCCCGGATCGCCGCCCTATGTATGTATACAGCGATGGCAGGTATTCCCGTTAATCCTCCGCTTCCGCCAACCTCTCCATGCCCGACGTCTCAGACAGACTCGGGAGTATACTGGTCTGCCTGCTACTCTCAGCTAGGTAAGCACGAAGCCAACTCCAATGTCTTGACTCGACGCTAACGACAGTCCAAGTCTCAATGGAATGTCGCTGACCCAATCTCTATGTTATTACCGAATATCGCATGGGGATAAACTAAGGATCAAGCTTGTTGTAGGTCTTTCGCAAGCCTAACTACATATTCCACTCACGTGGCCGACCATAGGTAGCCTTCATATGGTGCGGATATATTGTCTAATGCTTTCATCGTACTAATTAAGTAACAAGCCTTATTCAGAGTGTTCAGACCGCTCTTGGAATTACATGGGCATATGAATGCCTTATCTCAAGAGCGGGAGATCTCGAAGGCCTTAACGTATTGCGGTGGTGAGCAGTTAAAATGTTTTGATCTATGCACCGGATGCATCCCCTAACTCCTTACAGGCCTGCTTGTGTATGTTACCTCTGCTTTCATTGAGAGAGATCTCCCTTGACTCAGCTCACGAGTAGGCGCACGTAGGGCTGGGAGTAAGCACCCGCGTCGGAGTCCAATCAGCTGGAGCTAATCCATGGCAGTTTTTTTCTGCTCTAATTGTACAGATGTAAGTACCTGAGCCTGAATCGATAGGGACGGCTGCTGATAAATGCCTCGAATCAAGTTGCAATGCGGTACGGATCTGGCAAAGTAGACCCATACGCTCTGTGCTGTCGAGACCAAAGCAGGCTATATCCGTCCTCACAGTAAGTTTTATCTCTGCCATGCAGTGGCGCAGGGTCTGAGCTATCATAGGGATTGCTTGCTCTAGCTTCCTTCGGTGAGAATGCGCGCTTTGGCACGTTGACTACGCGCTGACTCCCTTTTTATCAAGTCGTTGGGATAGGTGAGGAGTGCATCTATCATGTGGTTGTTTTCAGAATTCTGACCGATGTTGATGATCTACAGCAGCCGTGGGGACTGGGTTAGTTATTCCGTCATGACTCATTTAACTTCAGGGACGTAACTAATGAGCTGCGCCGGAACCCCAAGATATAAGATTCAGACCTGGACGAAAATACGGTCATCAGAGCTCATCGCGGTATTCTTTCTTTCTGACATCTGATGTCAGTAATCCTGACGATGGATAACGCGCAGACGCTAGGGGGCATTGCTTTTGCGCTTGCCTTGGCGGTAGATATTGTACAGCCCGCAATGATGTTGCATGCTTTGCGCTGCAGTCGAGGCGAAAGGAACACGTAAGTACTTGGAACCAATTCAGGTACCTGCGGAGTTAGTAGACTAATATGCACTTAGCGTTTCACGTAGCCTCGTTGGTGTTGCGCAAGTGTGGACAGTTTATCTGTCTGGTACCGGAATGTTCACCAGGTGAGTTGTCTGAAGTCTAACGGGAACCCGGAGACTCTCTCTGACATCCCTACAATCAGCATCATAGCATTAACTGCACTGATATTGGTACGTCATGTCGCATACCTACCCCAAGCTATCTGCCTTTACATATCTTCCAACGTAGTTCTGGTTAAATCGTTCAGACTTGCTCTTCCTTGGATTAATGGAGATACGAAGCAGATGTACAGTTCATTTGTATAATCGTGGGATGTGAGCTGACGGCCACACTTAGTGTACGCAACCTGTTTCTTATCGAGGCAAGTAGGCACAGGAACAGCGGGTGCAAACATGTCTCCACGATAACGATAACCTTACGTTGCTTTCTAGCCTAACTGCTCGACGACACTCGAGAATGGATAAGGCCGAAGCCGTATGGACGTCCTGGGACTTCGGTCGGAAGAGCGATAATGTACGTCGTCGCATATTACTGCACGTATACAATGGGTTTATGGATGATTTACGTATTGCAGGCTGTTTTGTCGACTCAAATTATAAACGCTGTGGACTCTTACCAGAGTTGTCATGAAGACGACCTACCGAGTGCCACTGCCAAGGCGCAAACATCGCACGTCTGACATGTCTCTGCTCTGGTGACGGCATCTTAGATAGTGTAAGAACATGATACGAGGTGGCTTGATCTTATCATTGCCCCATGGATCAGTATGATGGACTCACAAATCCATACATTTAGCGTAATGCTCGACTTGTATTCTTGGAAATATAGCTTGGATATACCGACCTGGACGCGGAAGTGCCGCGTTTTGGCCGCGTTCGATACATAACTGGCGAGAGCCACCGGACGAAGCCTGCCGACCTTCTAGGAGATTGGAGCGCAGTGGATACCATGGAGGTATTCTCTCAGATCATCATCAGCGATGCCATGTTCACGACACCCGTTCTTGACGCGAATTCCTCATCCGAGCTGTATAGCGTATCAGACCTACTCGTGTACAGTCCTGCTAAGGGATTGTTCTCCGGTACATTGCTCGCGCGTGAGTGTGTTCCTGATCGTGTCAAGGCCACATGGAGGGTCGTCGTGGTACATGATGCGATTACATTCTCGTGCAGGAGGTGCTCGTCTCACGGAATACAGAGCACAATTTCATTGGACCAGACCAACGATACGTTCTCTGGACCAACCTCCCAAGACCAGATGTAACCCAAGCCCGGCCTTTAAACACATTCCCATACCCTGGCTATCCAAGGTCCAAACGGCTTCTCCACATAATGGAGCAGTTCACGCCTCGAAACCGGTTCACGCAGGAACACTGTATGCAAGCCATGTGAAGGCAGAGGGTATCGGAAGATGCGCGAGCACCGTACCAGTCACGATTCTGACTTCGAGGCGATTAGGGACCTTGCCCCTTCGTCAAACCTTTCGTCGAAGCTCTCCCCTAGGGACTCCAGCACTTGAGAATCGCTCCAGCCGCGTGCGATCGTCAAACTCCCATCTCCTCCGCCGATTATATTGATCCTGATTGGCGACCCCACGACCCCGTCCTCCTGCGTGAACGCCATATCCGCTATGGCCCATGCGGATTCCCCGAGACTAGGTATATGGCTCATTGAGAAAACACCCAAGTTGGCCAGCGAGAGCCCGCCTTCGCGCTCTTTGTGCAACTTGCCCTTGAAGAACTTCCTGTACCCACCGACGAGCGCGACAAAGTGCAGGCTCGCGATACTCGAGAGGCTCTTGTCGCGTGACGTGCGGAGCTTAGCGGAGAGGTCCCTAGCGGCCTGCCAGAATACATTCTCGAACATGAACGGGTCGTCCATCGAGTGCGCCTCAGGGATTGGGCAAATGAAGGGGTAGATAGAGACGTGGTCGCAGAACGCGGTGGGCGGCTGGTTCGTGAGTGGACGCAGGGACGTGGGGATTTGGAACGGAACAGAGTCGTACTTTCCGGAGAGGTTAAGGGGTGTGAGGACGCGCGCGAGCGCCTGCGCAGCGACGACGTGGAGCGCGCCTGTAATCGTTGTGCTGTGGGATCGGGAGAGAGCGGCGAGGGTTTGCGCGTCGGCGTGGCTATAGGAAAACATACGGGCGTATGCCTTCTGCCATGGGCTCCGCGGCACGACAGTGTTGCCTCTCCATGTATTTGGCGAACGGGAGTGCGGGAATACTATGTGCAAAAGCTGTTTGAAAGAGACTGAGACCTTGGTCAGTTTCTCGACT